TGGGATGACAGGTGGCTTGTGCTTTCTTTAAGCATGTGTGCAATATGCTGAGTTTGTTATTTTTGTTATAAAAGTTCTTATAATAAAATATTTTAGAGGGGATCAGAGTGTAAAGAAGAAAATTCCAGATAAGAATATGAGCAAAGATCTAGACAGTTGGGGCCGGCCCCGTGGCTCACTCGGGAGTGTGTGGCGCTGGTAGCGCCGAGGCCGCAGGTTCAGATCCTATATAGGGATGGCTGGTGCACTCACTGGCCGAGCGTGGTGCAGGCAATACCAAGCCAAGGGTTGTGATCCCCTTACCCGTCAAAAAAAAAGATCTAGACAGTTGGATGAATATGAAATATTTAAGCTATAACAGACAAGCATAAGTAAAGCAGACTATTTTTTGTAACAATGAGATATACAACTGTGCCTTACATACAGAAAGTCTGAACTAATGCTTGCAGAATGTGTGAAAGAACAGGTTAGGGGCTAAACTCTCAGGACACTTTTGATGCTAGACAAAGCAGTCCAAACTTTAATCTATAGGTGACTGTTGACATTAAAGCAGAAAATAATAAAAAAAAAACTGTTAAGATTAATCTGACAGGGCCGGCCCGGTGGCGCACTGCTACAGTGTGCCGCTTGGGAGCATGGCGGCGCTCGAGGTGCGGGCGCGGCACCGAGGGTTGCAATCCCGTTGCCGGTCCCGGTCCAGTGCGGGCGCGACCCTGGGGGTTGCGATCCATTGCCGGACACGAAAAAAGACAAAAAAAAAAAAAAAAAAAGATTAATCTGACAAATTAAAATTGGGTTTTTCTAGAAGTAAGAGTAATCAGTTTCTAGCTGACCGACATGTTTTATGTGGATCAGGTAGTGTATTAGGATCTGGAAGAGCAAAAAGTCCAGAATCTCTGCATTCTTAAAAGCCAACAATCCACATGAGTAAAATGTGCTTTCCCTCTTTAAATAGGCCAGGTGCTTTCCATGTGTTTTCCTGATCAGGCTTCTTTCTTTCATGTACCTAACCTTTCTAGTCTCCAGACACTGAAGTTTGATTGTTAACAGAGGTAAGTCACTTGGCCTAATACAAGCCTGGACTAGAACTGGTGGTGATAGAAATAGAAAGTCACAGGAGGGGGACATTAAGTGCAGGCTGACTTGTGACAGTGTAGAGGCTCAGGAGCCAGACTGACCGAGTGTGACCTGGAATAATGAGTTACTTAATCTCTGTCTCATTTTTCCTCTTTGTAAAATGGTGATCTAATAAGAGTACCTACACCTCATAGTTGTTAAAGGTTAAACAAGTAAATATCTGTAAAGCAATTAAAACAGTGCCTGGCACAGAATTAGTTTTCGTTAAATTTAATGTATGCCTACCATTAGTTTTGTTCTAATTGAAATAAAAATTCACAGACTTTACATTTGATAGATACTGTAAAGGAAGGAGAGCTGTCCAAAGGGACCAGAACAATGGAAATTGAGAAGATACCTACACAAAGGTAATTGAAATCCTAACAACAGATGAATTCTTCAAAGAAGAAAATTTAGATAAAAATCAAACAGCAGATGAATAAGCCTCAAAAAAAACCTCTCTGATTGGATGTAGAAAGATAGGGAGTCAGATAAAAGTGTGATTAGAAAAGTATAAGTGTATCACTTCAGAATCAAGGAAAAGAAAATTATGTCAAACTTCTAGTAACAATAATTCCCTCATACACTGGTAAATGTTTAATTTTTAAAGCACGCATGATTTTACTGAATCCTAATAATGACCCCATGAAGTAGAAGAATTATCTCTATTTTACTAATGAAGAAAAGTTCAGAAATTAAACTATTACCTAGGATTACATAGCTAGTAAATGATAAAACAAAAATCGAATTGAAACCATTATTTATATATATACACACATATACACACACACACATATATACACACATAAGGGTCTTCAAAAAATTCATGGAAAGATGCATATTACTTTTCAATTCCATTTTTCCATGAACTTTTTGAAGTACCCTTGTATATATGGACATGGACACACACCTACACAGTAAGAATCAGGATAAATTAATCCTAACTTCATTCAATGGAGCAAGTATTATGCCCCCTCCCACTTTTAAAAAAAATAAAAACCAGGGCCGGCCCGGTGGCACACTGGAGAGTGCGCCGCTTGGGAGTGTGGCGGCGCTCCCGCTGAGGGTTTGGATCCCATGTGGAGACCGGTTCCCGCTCACTGGCTGAGCGCGGTACGGGCGCGACACCGAGGGTTGCGATCCTGTTACTCGTCAGTAAAAAAGACAAAAAGGAAAAAAAAATAAAAAATAAAATAAAATAAAAACCAAATTACAAAATAAATGAAGGAGTTTGCTAAATACTTACCAATTAATTGCCCAGAAAAAAAAAAAAATATATATATATATATATAACCTGACATTTTTCCTTTTGCCCTATTAAGTAGATTTCATTTATTTTTACAGATTTTTTAAAAATTCTTTGTTCGGACCGGCCCCATGGCTCACTCAGGAGAGAGTGCGGTGCTGGTAGGGCTGAGGCCGTGGGTTCTGATCCTATATAGGGATGGCCGGTGCACTCACTGGCTGAGCATGGTGCAGACCACACCGTGCCAAGGGTTGCAACCCCCTTACCAGTCCAAAAAAAAAATTCTTTGTTCGTTTTCCCAAAAAATATTTGAGCATTTATTATTGGCCAGGTACAGTTACAACATTAATGTGAAGAAGACTCTCTCTATTCTCAGAGCTTAGTAGGGAACATACACTGTATGCAATTTTAACATACTGTGATAAGTGCTATGATGAGTGTATTTAAGGGAGCATCTGTCCCAATCCTGGGGAGAGAGAGGTGTGATGTTGGGAAGCAGATGAATAGAAGGTTCACGGGAATTAGTCACATACTGCAGGGACCTGGGAGAGTATGCCAGGCAGTGTGTGTACAAACAGGCTTAAGAGTAATCAATAATGCTTATATCACAAGAATACAATATCCATTCAATTTTAATTATGTTTCCTTTAATTATTTTACAACATATTTCAAAAACTGCTGTTATAGTTGCCTTAACTGCTCTATAAGACCTGGAATAAAAGAACACTTAGAATTACAACACACAAACATCAAGCTGTAATTCCTACTTGCACTGAAACCACTACTTCCAAAGGGACATAGTTTTTCAAATAAGCAGATATGTGGCAATGCAAAATAAAGTACAAAATTGTTAAAACAGTAAACTTTGCTTTAATGGCTATAGAAAGGAGGTGGTTTTGTTTTATTTTTCAACACATCTGGTTCTGGCAGCAAGTTGTATTATGCATTTAGAGCAATGTGTGCCCTGAAAGCTTGTATTTTCAGTTTGTGCGTGTCACCTGCATCAAAGACCAAACACATGAAGAAATATTGTTCTCAATTCCCTCAATAACTTTCCCTCAAAAAGGTCACAACATTAGTGAACTCAAGACCCTCACTAGTGATGATATTTTGCAATTATTTTTTCTCCAGTGACAATGGGTAATTTTAATTTTCTCTAAAAGAGAAGCAATGAAAACAAGGAAACCATTCGGGATCCAATTTTCATTTCACATTCTCCAAGTAGTAAACAGCAGCTCTACAGGTTGATAAAAATAATTTCAATTTCTTCCTATTAGTTTTTAACCACATTAACATAAAAATGTATCTGGATTTAGTTGGGTTTCCAAAAAAAATTTAGTTGACAAATATTTCAGAAATCTAATAAAGCACTGCATATGTATAATTAGCTCTCACCTACCAAAAAATATATATATATGTATACATATTTATTTATCTTACCTTCACAGAAGTTCCTTTTTTTTTGGCTGGACATGAGAAACAAGATTAAGTGACCAATGCTGGCTTTATTTCTTTATAAGCAATAATTTGGGTAATTTTTCATTCAATATGACTGCAGCATTTTCATAATAAACTCACAAAAGGCAATATAAGGAAATACCTACTGAATAAGCTTCTACCAAGCAATTCACGTTTTAAAGTTAGACTCTACCAAAGTGGCACCGCGGCATAATAGGCGTTCAATTTTTGTTTCCTTTTTTCAAGTTTGTCAGTTCTTTACTACTATTATTTTTTTCAAGCAGTAAATAGTGTATAACCACAAAGTAAGGCCTAGAGGCCATTTACAGTTATTCACGATATCATGGTGGACTTAACTCTCAAGAGCTGATATAAACCAAAGTGAACAGTAGACAACTAGAACCACATTTGGTCACATTCAAACAGTCTCCAAAAGCACTTTGCTAATATACATGTTTCCTTCTTCTCAATTGATTTTGTTTTAATCTTATTAAAATTATAATAAGATTAAAAAGATTTTGTACAGTTGTATTTATAGGGGACTATTATGTTCAAATGAACATATTTTAATTTGCAAAATATCATTAGTAATATCCTTTCTATAAACCTGGTTGGCAAAATTAAAAAGGCACAAAAGAGGGGTAACAAAAAATGTTTTCAACTTTTAGTGAAGAGTACCAAAGCATGTATCCTTCATGAAAAAAAGCAGAGAAAAATGTTCGGTACTTCATGCACAACGTGAGCTAGCTACAAAAAAACTTCTCTTCAGATAGGTCCTGAGACTTGAGGAGAAAATGAGTTTTCCTAATCATGTGCATCATGTAAAATAAAATGTAAAGCTGCACATACATGTTTGGTTTTAACAGTGGACCCATGATTTTTAAAAAGTGAGGCAATTAAGCAAAGGAAAACAAAACCAAAATACCTTCATAAACAAAGCAATTCCACCTGTCACCTCTGCCCTTTTTGCCACTCAGTGGGTAAAATGTCCAATAAAATGTATAATGCAGCATACACAATCATGTAATCTAAAAACTTTTCATGATAACTTATTGCAAATTGCACTTGACAGTTCACCACAACAATGGAAAACTGGCCCCTTGTTGGTTCACACAGTCCTTGAGCCCCAAATTGAAGTCACCAGTAAAATGATCTGGATAAAAAGTTTGCAGCTGTGCTCAGCCAGCCAGCTCCACCCTCTGGGTGTGAGCCAACCCGGGACACTGCTTTGTCCTGCTCCTTTGAAGGACTCTCATCCTCAGGCAGGTAGTCGGGCAGCTCTGTATTCTGTTCTACTTCCACAGGAGTATCTTGGAATGGAACCAACATCTGTTAAAAATTATCACAAAATCAACTTAATGTTTAATATAAATATATAAAACATTATATATATATGACATATACATATGTGTCATACATTAAAGGTCAACCTTACTCCTAATGCTAATTACCATATTTATTCTCAGGGGTGCTATTCCTTCTAAACTTTTCCTCTTACATGATGGTTGGCCCAATTGCTGAGCACTACATAAGCACAGAAAAGAAAACTGCAAATGAGAACTCAGATACTGATCTGCTGAGGCCCTAGGAGTAAATGAGCAACCTCTGTGGGCCCCTGGAGAGGTATGGAACCCCATGTCTAGGGGAACCCAAATGAGCTCAAAGCATACATATTAATTTCCCCTATCACAAAGCTAGTGAAAAGAGTAGTGACTGGCAAGGACTGTCACCCTATTTACTTGCCCAATGGTTGCACCTTTATTTTTTGGATTGGCAACACTAGTTAAGGTTAGAAAGTACTTTAAAAATAAATGTAAAGAAACCATATATCTTTTATTTCCCTATAAAATCAGCAAGATACCTCCACTGAGATAAAAAGTTTTCTTCACAAAAGCAGACTCTGAAATCCATAAAAGATCTCTTTATATTTCTAGAACGGTTAACTGTTAACCGAGAAACACCACATTCTTACATATTTGGCAACTGTTGGTCTAGAAATACTGGCAATCTCCTAGCCATAAAAAGTAACCAAGAGTCTGAGTTGGGTATAAAGAAAACTAAATAAACTTTTACCTCTTCTCCACTTTCACTTTTCACAACTTGCTGAGCTTTCATCACCTTGGTTGACGCTATCGCTGATGCCAAAGCCTAGGCATAAAAGGAACAGGTTTGAACACTGATGTGTTTACCTGTAACTCAAGCATTCTCAGCCATTTAAAATACTAACCTCTGCTTTCAAATCTGAACGGATTCGCACCACACATCTTTGAACAGCCATTTGAAACGTAAAGCTAATAACACCTTTAATTTTTAACAAAGCCTCTTCACATAGATTTCTCCGTGACTGAAAAAGGAAAAGAAAATTATTAAAATAGGTAAAATAGTAAAAGGAAATACATCAACTCAAACCACATTGAACTAGTCATTCTATTTTGGGGGGAAGGGGAGCAAATGTACCTATTTCAGTTCTGCCATCTCATATTTCAGGGCACAAGGGTTGGGGATGAAGGGTGGAAAGGTGGGGGTTGGAGGGTTGATTAGTCAAGTTTATTAAATTCTACAAGATCAGCAGAACAGTAATTCCTTCTAGAATTTCTAAGCTTCAATACTCATATGTAGTTTTAATAATTTTTATCAAAAGAAGTTAGCCAATGTCAATTTACTTCTTAAACAGAGCAAAAGAACAATACATAAAAAATAGCCCCAAAGCAGAAGTTTCTGTAGTTCAAAGGTGGGCGAACTATATAGTCTATCACTGTTTTTGTAAATATTTACTGGAACACAGCCACACACATTTGTTTAAATATTATCTGAAGCTAGTTTCATGCAAAGGCAGTTAGTAGTTGTGATAGAGACTATTATGGCCTGCAAAGCCTAAAATATTACCCTCTGGCCCTGTGAAGAAAAGATTTACTGACCCCTGCTCTAGTTTAAAAATCTCTAGAGATAAACCCTAATAGACTGAAGTTAGAATTAGTGAGGATTTAGTGTTTGAATCACTATTCCTTAAATCACTTGGTATTTATAAATATCACTGCATCCTTTATTTATGGCATTCTCAATGGTTACCATTGCATTCTCAAGGGTAATCAATATCTTCTTTTTGGATCTCATTTTCCTCTGATGCTGTTCATGATACAATATAATACGCATCTCTGTCTCATCTCACCACCAAAATCCAGTGCCTAAAACTAAGTGACTTTCTTTCTGCTTTGTCCTCAGGAGACTATTCTCATCACTTCAGCTATCACTAACATCATAACTCCAATAAGACTTTTTTTTCATTTGTTTATCAGACATATCCTCTTGTATATCAAGTAATATTAACACAAGATCCAACATGAAAATGGATTAAAAAGTAACTGCACTTTCTCCTCATCACTCCCTGCACCTCTAGCCCACACCAAATCACTCTCTCTAAATTTTCCTGTTTCTGTATTAAGAAGAGGTTCTGACTTAGTACTTCTGAGGGGAAAGGAATTCACAATTGACCCCTGTGCCAAGTCTCTAGATTGTACTTACTTTTCGAACTTATTCCCACTCCCTTCACAATAACTCTCCCATCACTGCTCATCTCCCTACTGAAGCCACTTCTCACTTCTGCATTTCACCAGTATGCAGGGAAGGATCTGGTACACAACGGTCCATGGCAGAGCGAGGCCTACCGTGGGCTCATCCAGTGCACTGTCTCTGGCTCTGTGAAGCCCCTTTAGGGAACTCGCACCAAACAGTTCCATGTCTACCTCTTTCATGTATTCAACACTAGTTAAACTTAAAAGTGAAAAGTTTGTATAGCACATATGAGAGAGTTAGGATACTACTGCTTCAACCTGTTCCTTACTTCAAATGTAAAGAAAGCAAAAAATAGAAAAGTAACTTGCCTAGTTTATTACAGGTAAAGAGGGTGGCACTAAATTCCAACCATACGTAACAATGAGGAATGAGATTCATAAGGCCAATTCATCTTTATTTCAACACAAATTAACACTTTTTCACCAGACATATTGCCTGTCTCCCCCAGCTAAAATGCTAGTGTAAAGAGCAAGAATTTTTGCTTATTTCTTTCATTGTGGTACCTAAAATAGTGGCTAATACAAGGTGTCCTTTCTATTGTTAACGTTAGTACGTTCTACCTTGTGAACTTTTAGACCAGGTAGTAAAGTTCCAAAGTCTTTCGAATTGACTGATATTATTTTAAGTGTATAAATTTAGAAAAAACTAACATCTCTACAATTTTGGTATCTCCTATCTAGAAACCTATGTAAAATCCACAATGTAAAATCCACATTATCTGGCACCCAATCAAAAATTACCAAACATGCATTATAGAAAATAATAAGAAAGGTTTTTCAAAAAGCTTGGAGAATTACCATATGATCCAGCAATCCCACTACTGGATATGTAAAGGTACTTCAAAAAGTTCATGGAAAAATGGGTTTAGAAGAATACAAATCTTTCCAGGAACTTTTTAAAGACCCCTCATATATACAAAGTAAAAGGAAATCAATATGTTAAAGGTATAACAGATCTCCCATGTTTATTGCAGCACTATTCACAATAGCCAAGATATGAAATCAACCTAAATGTCCATCAGCAGATGACTGGATAAAGAAAATGTGGTATATATAAACAACGGAATACTACTCAACCATAAAAAAAATGAAATCCTGCCATTTGGGGCATCAGGGATGAGCCTGGAGGGCATTATGTTAGATGAAATAAGCCAGGCATAGAAAGATGAATACTGCATGTTCTCATTCATACGTGGAAGCTAAAAAAGTTGATCTTGCAGAAGTGGAGCATAAAATAGTTGTTACTAGAGACCAAAAAGGGGTGGGGGTGTAGTGGTGGAATAGGGAGAGATTGGCAATACAAAATTATAGCTAGATAGGAGGAATAAAATCTAGTATTCTATAGCACTGTAGGGTGACTATAGTTAATAATAATTTATTGTATAATCTCAAATAACTAGAAGAGAGGATTCTGAATGTTCTCAAAACAAAAAAATGACAAATATTTGAAGTGATGGATATACTGATTACCCTGATTTGATCATTACACACTGTATACCTGAATCCAGATTTCACATTGTACCACATAAATATGTACAGTTATGTGTCAATTAAAAATAATTAAAATATAAATAAATAAAAGACTTACTACAAAACAAAACTTACCAGGCATGCAAAGAAGAAAATACAAAATATAATTAGAAAAATCAATCAATAGAAACACACTCAGAAGTAACACAGATAGAATTAGTAGACAAGCACATCAAATAGTTATTCTAATATATTCTGTATGTTCAAGCAGATAGAGAAAAGTGTAAACATGCTAAGGAGATATAAAAAAATCAAACTTCTAGAGATACACTAAAACAACATCTGTGGTTAAAAAATACATTGGATAAGATTAACAGCAAATTAAACACTCACAGGAGACAAATTTAGCCAATATAGTGACAGGAAACTATCCAAAATGAAACAGAGAGAAAAAAGATTGAAAAAGAAAGAACAGAAGGATGGCCCACGGCTCACTTGGGAGAGTGTGGTGCTGATAACACCAAGGCCATGGGTTCGGATCCCTATATAGGGATGGCCGGTTGGCTCACTTGGGAGAGTGTGGTGCTGACAACACCAAGTTAAGGGTTAAGATCCCTTTACCAGTCATCTTTTTTTTTAAAAAAAAAAAAAAAAGAAGAAGAAGAAAGAACAGAATATCAGTGAACTGTAAGAGAACTTCAAGTGGTCAAATACATGAGTAACTGAAATCCTTGAAAGACCAATGCAAATGGGGGACAGAAAAAATATTTGAAGTAACAAAAAAAAATAGTCCAAATTTGTTGCAAACCATAAACCCGTAGATTCAAGAAGCTGAATGAACGTGAAGCAGAATAAACATGAATAAAGTCATACCCAGGCACATCTTAAGCAAACTGAACAAAACCTGTGATAAAAGAGAAAATCTAAAAAGCAGGGATGGGGAATAAGATACAAAGGAATAATTTGAATAACAGCAGAATTCTGAAGAGAAAAAAATGCAAGGCAGAAGAACACCCGAAAGTGTGGTAAGAAAAATAACTCTCACCTTGAATACTATACTCATTGAAAATTTCTCTCAAAAACAAAAATAAAATAAGGACTTTTCAGACTTACAAAACTGAGAGTTGGAGACTTCAATACCTGACTTTCAAAAGTGAATGGAACAACTAGACAGAAGAGCAGCAAGGAGAAAGAAGATTTAAGCAACACTATAATCCTACTAAACATAACACACACTTACAGAACACTCCAACCAATAATACACAAATTCTCAAGTGCATATGGAATATTCTCCAGGACAGAACATATGCTGGGTAGGCCGGCCCGTGGCTCACTCGGGAGAGTGCGGTGCTGATAACACCAAGGCCCCGGGTTCGGATCCCACATAGGGATGGCCGGTTCGCTCACTGGCTGAGCGTGGTGCTGACAACACCAAGTCAAGGGTTAAGATCCCCTTACCGGTCATCTTTAAAAAAAAAAAAAAAATCAATGTCTTGGACTGTAAGTATCTTGTCCAATCACATGGAATGAAATTAGAAATCAATAAGAGAAAGAAATTTGGAAATTCAGAAATATGTGGAAATTAAACAACACACTCCTAAATAACTAACAGGTCAAAGAAGAAATCACAAGAGAAAATACTTAGAGACAAATGACATGAAAACATAACATACCAAAACTAATATGATGCAGAAGAAACAGTGTTTAGAGGGAAATTTATAGCTGTAATGACTACTTTAAAATAGAAGAAAATCTCAAATCATTAACCTAACTTTTCACCCTAAGAAACAAGAAAAAGAGCAAACTAAACTCAAAGCAAGCAGAATAAAGGAAATAATAAAGAACAGAGTAGGGGTTGGGAGGGAGCTGGTGAATTAAAAAAAAAAAATCAGTGATATCGAAAGTTGGTTCTCTGAAAAGTTCGACAAAACTGATAAACCTTTAGCTAGAATGATCATGAAAAATACAGAAATAAAAGACTCAAATTCGTAAAATCAGAAATAAGAGTGGACATTATAACCTTAAAGAAGCAAAAAAGACTATAAGCAAATACTATGAATAACTGTATGTCAATATATTAGATAACTCCAATGAAATGGAAAAATTCCTAGAAAAACAAAAACTACCAAAACTGACTGAAGGAAAAAAAAAAACAAAAAAAAAAACCCCACAGACCTGTAACAAGTAAAAAGATTTGAATTAACAATCAAAAAACTGACAAAAACTACCAAAACTGACTGAAGGAAAAACAAAACAAAAAAAAAAAAAAACCCCACAGACCTGTAACAAGTAAAAAGATTTG